TCTTAATCCACATGGAATATACCATTACTCTAGCCAAGAAGAAAGTAAGTGTTTTGTTTCTAGTGTTTTTGTTTGTTTGTTTGTTTTACCTTTGCTATATATTTTTTACTAAGCTAATGGGCAAAGCATAAATATTTGCCATTAACTTTATTTTAAATTTTGTTTCATCATTTCACATAATTTTTCTTGTTTCATTAGGGTTTAAAAGGTAATAATAAAACTCATTTCCCACATACTAGAATTAAATATTTTATTTTATTTTTTTTGAGACAGTATCTCTCTGTCACCTAGGCTGGAGTGCAGTGGCATGATCACAGCTCACTGTAACCTCGAATCCTGGACTCAAACAATCCTCCCACATCAGCCTCCCAAGAGACTGGGACCTCAGGTGCAAGCCACCACAGCCAGCTAATTTTTATTTTGTTTTGTTGAGACGGGGGTCTCATTATGTTGCTCAGGTTAATCTCAAACTCCTGGCCCTCAAGTCATCCTCCCACCTTGGCCTCCCAAAGTGTTGGGATTATAAACATGAGCCATGATGCCTGGACCAATATTTTTTAAAAAATAAAACAAATACAACTAAGATTCCTATCTTTATACTACAGAATTTAAATAGAAAATCTGAAGCCATTAATCTCACTATCAATAGCCATGGAGAATGAATCCTACTTTAAATCAGTCTTACTGTCAGAAAGGCACTTATTAGCCAACCTGTTAAAGAGTATGAGTTACTACAGACTCGAGACAGACCAGTGTTGTCATACCGTGACCCGATCCCTAATTTTACAGGGGAGGTAACTGACGTGAGACAGGTAATACAACATACTTAGGATCACCACCCACTGAAATCACCGGAAGCGGAGCACAGGCTCTGTTCCAGGTGTTCTGTTCCCAGTCTCCAATGTATTCAACTGTATCGTGCTGCCCTCTAAATTCACTACTGTGGAACAACTGACTGAGCCAGGCTATAACATATGAATTATTCCACATGAGTGAGCTTCTCGGATCCCTGTAGCTTGACTCTTTAAATACCAATACTTTTTAAAGTTCTCATTTTTTTTTGCTAGGAACCTCTCTAAAGTGAAAAAGCACAACTCCAGATTCCTTAGCTATTCCAGTTTCACGGCTCTGACATCGCTATTTGCTTCAATACCAGGTCATGTGCCTTATGAATACATTCCTGTTATGCTACATGACCTCCTCGTGTTTTGTTTTCTTTTTGTTGTTTGTTTGTTTTGGAGATGGGGTCTTGCTATATTGCCCAGGATGTATTCAAACTCCTGGGCTCAAGTGATCCCCCTTCCTCAGGCCTCCTGAGCATCTGGGACTACAGGCATATGCGACAATGCCTGGCTTGTCTTTCTTGTGTTAATTTTAGACCCCTCGGTGAACTCCCCATCATATTGGTTTTGCTTCACTACCTACTTTATTTGGGGGAGAATGAAGCAAAGAAAATGGCAACATGGTGGAGTCATGGTAGATGCTGATGGATTGTAAATGACAGAGAAAAAATGAATTATTTATTGTCCAGACTTTTAGAACATCATTTCTACTGGCTACAGCACCATTTAGAGTCAACTTAGCTGCACAGGTCTTTGGCCTCCATGTGAAAAGGTCCAGGTTTCATTGCACATGCCACGCTTTGAGGTTAGTCTTAACCTTGAACTTTAATATCAATTAATTTTGAATGCTTTTCTTTCCTAAGCGATAATGGCATGGTTTCATATGTTACACTTTGGACAGACTGAGTTTTAAAAATGCAATTATTTTTCCTTTCATGCCTCTTGTAATGTTTTGAACAAACTTGAATGATGAGAGAGAATAAAAGAGATATCAGTAAAAAAATTTAAAAAATTTTTAAAGAGGTTCAGGTTTCTTCACTTAATTTTTGAGTTTCTGCTACCATTTCTTGCTGGTATCTATGTGTTATTATAAACTAGTTCCCCCACCTTCAATATTCTATTCATTTTATTTACGCTTATAAAAATATAGCAAAAATATATTAAAGAAACACCAGATAAAGATTTGAGGATCTCTTCTATCACCAGATATATTAGCATGAACCCTGACTTACCTATGAGGGGTCTTTTGTTTTGTTTTTGTTTGCTTCTGAGTTGTGGATGGTTCGGGCTTCTGGGCAACGGACCCATAGAGAAGCCTGTAAAACTGGGCTGGGTGTGGTGGCTCACGGCCTGTCATGGTGGTTCACACCTGTAATACCAGTACTCTGGGAGGCCAAGATGGGTGGATCACGAGGTCAGGAGTTCAAGACCAGCCTGGCCAAGATGGTGATCATCTCTACTAAAAAAATAAATAAGTAAATAAATAAATAAAAATTAGCCAGGTGTGGTGGCCTGTAATCCCACCTACTCAGGAGGCTGAGGCAGGAGAATCACTTGAACCCAGGAAGTGGAGGTTGCAGTGAGCCAAGATTGTGCCACTACACTCCAGCCTGGGTGACAGCAAGACTCCGTCTCAACTAAAAAAAAAAAAAAAAAAAAAAAAAAAAAAGGCTGGCCTGGTACAGTGGCTCACGCCAGTAATCACAGCACTTTGGGAAGCCAAGGTGGGTGGATTATGAGGTCAGGAGCTCGAGACCAGTCTGGCCACCATAGTGAAACCCCATTTCTATTAAAATACAAAAATTAGCCAGGTGTGGTGGCACAGGCCTGTAGTCCCAGCTATTTGGGAGGCTGAGGCAGGAGAATCATTTGAACCTGGGAGCAGAGGTTGCTGTGAGCTGAGACTGCACCATTGCACTCCAGCCTGGGTGACAGAGTGAGGACTCTCTCTCACAAAAAAAAAAAAGTCTGCATACTTCTTTCTCTTTTTTTTTTAATTGAGATGGAGTTTTGCTCGTTGCCCAGGCTAGAGTGCAATGGCACGATCTTGGCTCACCTCAACCTCTGCCTCCTGTGTTTAAGCGATTCTCCTGCCTCAGCCCCAAGTAGCTGGGATTACAGGCATGCACCACCATGCCTGGTGTATTTTTAGTAGAGACGGGGTTTCTCTGTGTTGGTCAGGCTGGTCTGAAACTCAAGTGATCTGCCTGCCTCGGCCTCCCAAAGTGCTGGGATTACAGGCAGGAGCCACCATGCCTGGCCACTGTACGTCTCTTTAGGTCTATTCTATGGGAATTCATATACAATGTCCTTAAAGTGTTTGCAATCAGCTTATGGACGCAAACTGATTCAAAGTAAACCTCTGACACTAAATCAGTGCTTCTCAAACTTTAATGTAAATGTAAATTACCTAGAAACCTTGTGATAAATGAAGATTGTGATCTAGTGAGTCAGATGTTGGGTTGCTGCCAAGATTCTGTATTGCTGTCAGGTGATGATAAATCTGCTGGCCCCCACACCACACTTTTAGTAGCAAGGATCTACAACACATTCCTTTTTTTCTCTCCTATTTCTAAATTCTCTCATTCCTTTGTTTTTTCCTTTTCTTGCATTACTCTTTTTCCTGCTTTAAGTCTGTCAATAGTAACCACAGTAAGTATTTAGCGCTGTAGTAGTCCTTAAACCAATGAAGGTTCCCCAATCTACAATGTAAGCTACGAAAAAAAAAACAGCGCAGAAAGGTCATAATACTACAATAGTCATAAATCTTTCTAAATGTGACCAAAAATAATAAAGTCAACACAGATGACATTATTTTTAGGATGTATTGTTATTTTGGTATATTTCTTAGCAGTTAAATATATTCCTTAGAACACAGTTCAAAAAAACTTATGATGTCGTGTTTCTTAATAAGAAATCGAAACCTTTTAGTCATGTTAAGATTCAATAACTGTTAAGATTCCAATGAACTGAACTGCTAATTATGAACAGTATGATGGTACTTGCACTAATCTTTATAACCTGTTAATGAATCTTTCTTTAGCCTACTCTAATTTTTTTTAAAAATCTGCTACCAAGGATACCTAGTCCTCAAAAGATGAGCTTTTTTTTTTTTTTTTTGAGACAGGGTCTCACTCTTACCCAGGCTGGAGTGCAGTGGCATGATCATAGTTCAATGCGGCCTTGACTTCCCAAGCTCAGGTGATCCTCCCACCTCAGCCTCCTGAGTACCTGGGACTAAAGGTGTGTGTGCCACCATGCCTGACTAATTTTTTGTTTGTTTGTTTGTTTGTTTGTAGAAACTGGATTTCACTGTGCTGCCTAGGCTGGTCTCTAACTCCTGGGCTCAAGCAATCTGCCCACTTCAGCCTCCCAAAATGCTGGGATTACAGGCATGAGCTATCACACCCAGCCAAGAGATCAGCTTTCCAGTGAACTTGTATATGCCTTACCATCTTATACAAATTTCACTTATAGTTGTACTATATCAGATTGTATAAAATGCCCATAACTCTCTTAAGAATTGCTAGATTTAGAATGAGTCCTTTAATAAAATAAATGTTAGCATTTGTAACATACAGAAGTGTTGTTCTTCCAAAAAGACTCTAAGATCTTAATGTGCCTAATCAACAAGTCATAGTCTCGTTTTACAGTGAGGAAACCTGAAGCACATCCAGGTTACACAACCGAGTGAACACAATGGAAAGAGAACAAGTAACTTCTAACTTTAAAACAGTCTTATAGTCATTATACAGTATAGGTTGAACATTGCTTAACTTTCTTTAGTTGTAGGAATGAATTTTTAAAATCAAAATTATATAAAATAGTTGGCTTCTGAATAACACTTAGAAATATTGTTTCTATATAACATTAGTCTCTTGACAATAGAATGAGCTGCACTGTAAATGGAATCCACTCCTGTGGTATAGTTTTCACACAAGGAAATTGAACCAGATAATTCCATTCCATCGAGCCAGACAACAGTGCCTTCTAGTGGTCAAAGGGGAGCATAATCAGAAATGTCTTCGGGACTCTGGACTAAAACCAAAACATCTAAAATCTAGAAGCTAAGAAGGAAATTTTAAAAATACTGTATGACTTCTTGCAGATTTAAAGAAAATTTTCAAGAATAAAATGAAGATATAAAAAAGAAATTACCCAAAAGCTCCAGTCACCACTCCAATTATGTAAATGTGGCCCCTGTTTTTTAACTACTGCATTATTCTCTTCCACAGTTGGACTAGGATTTTCCTTTACATCTTCCTCTGTGGCAAGGCTTGAATCCCCTTCATTTATCACCTAAAACAAATATCCAACCATTAAATTATTTATTGAGAAATGGCCATTTTAAAAAGAATGTCCACAACATATATGTTAATTTTAAAAGGGCAATATTTAAATGTTTAGAAGACAGTAATAAATATGTTTTTGCTTCAGTAGTTCATATAGTTATGTATTTATTTTTATTTATTTTTTATTCTTATTTTATTTTCTTTAGGGACAGTGCCTCACTCTCACACCCAGGCTGGAGTGTAGTAACCCAATCATAGCTTACTGTAGTTTCACACCCCTGGGCCAAAGGAATCCTCCTGCCTCAGCCTCCCAAAATGCTGGGATTATAGGCATGAGCCACCTCACCCAGCCACGTTCATACATTAATACATACAACAAATTTATAACTACTATTTTTTACTAGGTAGTTTGGTTGGCACTAGGGATGCAAAGATGAATAAAGCAAAGTCCTCAGTCTCCAGAAATGCACAGTTCGCTAGAGGAGCAATAAATCACACAATGTAGGCCAGGTGCGGTGGCTCATGCCTGTAATCACAGCACTTTGGAGGCCAAGGTGGGCGAATCACAAGGTCAAGAGATTGAGATCATTCTGGCCAACATGGTGAAACCCTATCTCTACTAAAAAAATATATTAAAAATTAGCTGGGCATGGTGGCATGCACCTGTAGTCCCAGCTACTCAGGAGGCTGAGGCAGGAGGATCACTTGAACCTCTGAGGCAGAGGCTGCAGTGAGCCGAGATTGCACCACTGCACTCCAGCCTGGTGACAGAAGAAGACTCTTTCTAGAAAAAATAAAATAAAATATAACATAATGGGAGTGTCCATTTGTACAACTATTTTGGAGAACAATTTGCAATGCTCAGCAGGAAAGAAGATAGATATATACTGCAACGAAGCAATTTAATATACCCATAGAGTCAGGAATGTTTGTTAAGAAAGCGGAAATAACCTCACTGTCCATCAATAGAGAAATTAGGAAATAAGCTCTGATTTATACAAATGAAAGCATTTAAACAAGTGAATAAGATGTGTCAGCTGTGCGGGGTGGCTCACACCTGTAATCCCAAAACGTTGGGATCACTTGAGTCCAGGAGTTCAAGACCAGCCTGGCCAACATAATGAAACCCTGTCTCTGCTAAAAATACAAGAAATTAGCCAGGCATAGTGGCCTTTAGTCCCAGCTACTCAGAAGCTGAGGCAGGAGAATTGCTTGAACCTGGGATCCAGAGGTTGCAGTGAGCTGAGATCACATCACTACACACCAGCCTGGTGACAGAGCCAGACTCTGTCTCAAAAAAAAGAAAAAAAGGCCCATCGCGTAATTGATCATGTAAGAGCACTTATTAGGGAGTTTAAAAAAAGAAAAAAGAGACCAAGCGCAGTGGCTCATGCCTGTAATCTCAGCACTTTGCAAGGCCGAGGTGGGTGGATCACCTGAGGTCAGGGGTTCGAGACCAGCAGGCCCAGTCTCGAGGCCTGGGCAACATGCTGAAACCCCATCTCTACTAAAAATGCAAAATTAGCCGGGTGTGGTGGCGTGCTTGTAGTCCCAGCTATTTGGGAGGCTGAGGCAGGAGAATGACTTGAATCCGGGAGGTGGAGGTTGCAGTGAGCTGAGATTGCCCCATTGCACTCCAGCCTGGGCAACCAAAGTGAAAATCCATCTCAAAAAAAAAAGAAGAAGAAGAAAAGCAAAGAAAAAAACAAAACAAAACAAAACAGAGAATAGGGAGTAGGGGAGTAAGGAGGAGCAGCCATTATAAAAGCATACGGGCCAGGTGCAGTGACTCATGCCTATAATCCCAGCACTTTGGGAGGCTGAGGCAGGAGGATCGCTTCAGCCCAGGAGTTTGAGACCAGGCTGGGCAACAGAGTGAGACCCTGTCTCTACAAAAAAATGTCAAAAAATTCGCCAGGCATAGTGGCATAGGACCACCTCCTGTGGTCCCAGATGTTCAGGAGGCTGAGGTGAGAGGACTGCCTGAGCCTGGGAGGTTGAGACTGCAGTAAGCCATTATCACTCTACAGCACTCCAGCCTGGTTGGCAAAGCAAGACCCTGTCTCAAACAAAAAAACAAACAAGCAAGCAAAACAGCATCTGGTGAACCAGGATCCTTAAATATCTCTGTTGCTGCTGCTCAACTTAAGCTTGAGGTTGTTTTCTGAGATAGAGTCTCACTCTGTCACCCAGGGTAGAGTGCAGTGGTGTGACCTCAGCTCACTGCAACCTCTACCTCCCTGGCTTCAATTTTCCTGCCTCAGCCTCCCGAGTAGCTGGGATTACAAGCGTGCACCACCTCACCCAGCTAATTTTTGTATTTTTAGTAGAGATGGGGTTTCACCATGTTGGCCAGGCTGGTTACAGACTCCTGACCTCAAGTGATTGGCCCGCCTCAGTCTCCCAAAGTGCTGAGATTACAGGCATGAGTCACTGCGCCCAGGCAGACTTGAGGTTCTTAAACCCTATAAATAGCCATTGCCACTGGGGAAGCCCCTAACCCTGATGATACTGATTTGAGGCCCTCTGGAGAAAGACATTTGTAAACATGAGAGGGTAGAAAGGACCTCCTCCACCTGAAGTATATCCAGTAACCTCCAAAAAGAGAGGGAGAAACAAACAAACCTGGATATAAGGGGAGGAAACATACAACAGTAAAAAAACAGAAAAACAAAAACTGAAACTGAAGTCCATAAATTGATCTAACAGGACATACAGAATTTATTAAGATAAATTATGTATAAAATAAAAGATAAAAGATTGGCTTTTGTGCCTCTACAACATAGGTTCTAAGTTAACCTCAACATCTGCTACAATGCAGCAATTGGCAAATCTTCATAACTTTAATCAATAATGGGTCTCAAATTACAGTTATACCTAGAGTTCCTACTAAATTTAAACAAGGCATCCCCTACAATCTTAGGGGAGTTAGTCAACATAAAACAGACAACAAACAGGTATGCCTCACTTTAATTATCAGAATTATTTCTTTGCCTAAATTCTCCATGATCATGGTATATATTGCCCTCAAATATCCTGTTGTGGCCCTGAACACTCTGACCCAGTGAGTAATAAACTAAATTTAAAACAAGTTTTTAGAGCTTACAAATTGGCTTTCAAAGAAGTGGGACCCCAGGCTGGGTATTTTGGCTCACATGTGTAATCCCAACATTTTGGGAGACTGAGGCAGGAGGCTCACTTGAGGCCAAGAGTATGGAGAATGTGCTGGGCAATATAGCAAGGCCCCCTCTCTACAAAAAAATGGAAAGATCAGCCGGGTATTGTGGCACACACATGTAGTGCTAGCTCCTTGGGAGGCTGATGTGGGAGGATTGCCTGAGTCCAAGAGTTGGAGACCACAGTAAGCTGTGATTGCACTACTGCACTCCGGCCCAGGTGACAGAGCAAGACTCTGTCTCAAAACAAACAAAACAGTGAGACCCCATGTACCACCACTCTCAATGCCCAGTTAAAATTATACAACCCAATATAAAACAAGACAGGGCCTTCAAGGACTGAAACTTGTTATGTAAGACCTACTTTGGCCAGGTGCAGTGGCCCACACCTTTAATCCCAGCACTTTGGGAGGGCAAGGCAGGCGGATCACGAGGTCAGGAGTTCGAGACCAGCCTGTCCAACTTGGTGAAATCCCATCTTTACCAAAAAAAAAAATACAAAAATTAGCTGGCGTGGTGGCACATACTTGTAATCCCAGCTCCTCAGGAGACTGAGGCAGAAGAATCGCTTGAACCCAGGAGGCGTAGGTTGCAGTGAGCCAAGATTGTGCCACTGCACTCCAGGCTGGCAACAGAGTGAGACTCCATCTCAATAAATAAGTAAATAAATAAATATAGACCTACTTAATGAAAGAGTAATTATCCCTACTGCTTCTCCACTTAACAGCGCAATTTAGCCCTGTTAAACTTGGTAAGAATGAATAGTGCCCCATGATTCATTAATGCATCCTTGATGACATCCTTTTACCCAGGAAGGCCCCTATACCCAATATTATTGGAATTACTGACTATCCAGTCCACAACTAGTAAGTACTTTGCTGTTATAGATTTGGCTAAAATGTTCTGTTTAGTGTTTATTTTATTTTATTTTGAGACGGAGTTTCGCTGTTGTTACCCAGACTAGAGTGCCACACGATCTCAGCTCACCACAACCTCCGCCTTCTGGGTTCAAGCAATTCTCCTGCCTCACCCTCGCAAGTAGCTGGGATTACAGACACGCGCCACCATGCCCAGCTAATTTTTGTATTTTTAGTAGAGACGGGGTTTCACCTCGTTGACCAGGATGGTCTCGATCTCTTGACCTCGTGATCCACCCGCCTTGGCCTCCCAAAGTGCTGGGATTATAGGCGTGAGCCACCACTGTTTAGTGTTTCTTTCAACACCTCCTCAGCCACAGTTGGTCTTCACCTCCAGAGAAACCTAATATCCCTTTACCTGGCTACCCACAGAGTACCTCAACAGTCTTGCCATCATACCCAATCTCTACAGGAAAGATCTTAACTGCATCCAATTTTCTCCAGGACCACAGGTTTAACATTCCACTGATGACACCCTCCTCTAAGGACAGTCTTTTGACATACAAAGGAGCTCACGAAAGGGGTTGGGCCATTGTGATACACATAGTGTAAGGCCTACCACCTTGGTCAACTTTCTGAAAATAATTTGATCTCTGTCACCCAGGCTGGAGTGCAATGGCACCAACAGGGGTCACTGAGGTCTCAAGCTGCTGTGCTCAAATGATCTTCCTATCTCAGCCTCCTGAATAGCTAGGACTACAGGCACCACACAACCATGCCGGGTTAACTTTTTTTTGGTAGATACGGGGTCTTGCTATGTTGCCCAGGCTGGCCTCAACTTCCTGTCCTCAAGCGATACTGCCTTCTGCCGTGGTGTCCCAAAGTGCTGGAATTATAGGCATGAGCCACTGAACTGGGCCACAATGGCTTACTTAAATTCAAATTCAATTAAATGAAAAATGGTGCATGTCAGTCATCAATCAAACATCAAGGATGAATTATCACAAATCTCAGTCTATTTCATTTGCCTCACCCCTCCCTCTTCCTCTTCCGGACCTCATCTGGGCAAGCTGATAAGAAAGCCTGCGGCTGTGCTCAGTGGCTCACACCTGTAATCCCAGCACTTTGGGAGGCTGACGGGGGGGGGGGGGGGGGGGGGGGGGGGGGCGGATCACAAGGTTATGAGATTGAGACCATCCTGGCCAACTTGATGAAACCTAATCTTTATTAAAAATACAAAAAAGGCCGGGTGCGGTGGCTCACGCCTGTAATCCCAACACTTTGGGAGGCCGAGGCGGGTGGATCACGAAGTCAAGAGATCGAGACCATCCTGGTCAACATGGTGAAACCCCGTCTCTACTAAAAATACAAAAAATTAGCTGGGCATGGTGGCGTGTGCCTGTAATCCCAGCTACTCAGGAGGCTGAGGCAGGAGAATTGCCTGAACCCAGGAGGCGGAGGTTGCGGTGAGCCAAGATCGTGCCATTGCACTCCAGCCTGGGTGACAAGAGCAAAACTCCGTCTCAAAAAAACAAAAACAAAAACAAAAACAAAAAAAATTAGCAAGGTGTGGTGGCATGCACCAACTACTTGGAAGGCTGAGGCAGGAGAATAGCTTAAAACCCAGGAGGCGGAGGTTGCGGTGAGCCAAGGTCGCACCACTGCACTCCAGCCTGGGGGAAAGAACAAGACTCTGTCTCAAAAAAAAAAAGAAAAAGAAAAAGAAAAAAAAGAAAGCCTGGAAGTTCCTTCCTTCATCTTGGGTGGGAAATTCAAGCAATCTCCTGTCTGCATACAGGAACTCTCACCCTGGCCCCACTCCCTAACCCAGAAAAAAAGACCTGGAGCCAGTCTTTTCCTGAGGCTCTTTTAAGCCTTTTTGGTACTGCTTGAGAGACCTGCCTTGCTCTCCCCAGAGACCTCAATTATGTAAGTAAAAGGCTTTTTCATACCCTCATGGTGTGTGTGTGTGGCATCATCAGTTTCTACACCTGAACAAATTTGGTGTGGGGGTTCATTCCGGCTTTCTGGGGTGGCAACAATAGATTCCTGTCTCTCTAACTTATCAGCTGTGTGGTCCTTAGCAAAGTCAATCTCTGTACATCTGTTTCCTTAACTCTACAATAGAGGAAATAATTATCTCTAGTCTAGACAATAAGCTTATTGAGAGCAGGGATCAGGCCTGTGTTAATTACCATTTAATCCCGGACACCTAGTGCCAGGGACATAGTTGAATCAGTGACTGATTGGGTTCATGAATATCCAGCTTGACTATTTCACAGTAATGTTTTTCAAATCAAGTGAAATAACACACTCATTTGTTCATTCAACAATTATTTGTGTACCTCCACCAATCTGTAAACGATAGTGCTCTTCAGAAGATATAGCACTGACCACATTTTCTCTAAAAGTAAAATATATACGCACAAACCAATGTGGAAGGAGGACGGCGTTCAGAAATGCAGGCGCACCTCCAACAAAAGCGGAGCTTCACCCTGAATATTAACCAGCAAGTTTTCCATTTTGTCAAATAAGGTAGTAAACAAATAACAAAACTAGACTAGTTGAAACCAAAAACCTGGCTGACAGCACAGTGATTTAAACTATCACTGTGTAATAGGGCCGAGAATGAAAGGAAGGAGGCGAGGCTGCAAAAACTAACACTGAGTCAGAATCACCACCATGGAGCCTGACCCAAGGGGGCCTGAGGCTGAGACATCCGCATCAGCACATTTCTGGCCAAAGTCAAGCCCTCAGCGCCCACAGGGAAGCAGACGTTCCCACCACCGCCCGGAGGGAAAGGGCTCCCGGAGGCACAGAAACCGTTCCCTCGGTAACAACTTTCCCTGTTACTCCAAAGAGCTCGAAGAGCAGGGAAGGGAGGGATTAACTGTAATCTGAGAAGGTCCAAGCAATCACCGTGAGAAAAAGTCGGGTAAAGCCTCGGGTGGGAACCGCCCCCAGCGAGGGCTGCTTACCTGGCGTACAGCCCGAGCGCCCTCCATCGCGGCTCCCTCGGCCACCGCGGCACCGCCCCGCGCCCACCTCCAGCGCGCTCTGCGAGCTCCGGGCTCCTCGCGCCTCCTCCGCCGGCCCTCCCGAGTACTTCCAGCCGCAGCTCCTTGCGCCCTCCCGCGGCCGTGAAGGACTGACTCCTGACGATGGGTGTTACTGGATTAGTTCGGAGGCTTGTCTTTCTAGGGGTCACAATGAATCTTAACCTATTCTCAGCCTCAAACTTCTGTGCCTACCAGGAAATGACGTTACCTGCCCCAATGTGCGAAAAAGTGAAATGCTTGGGAATTATTTTTTTGAAACAGAGTTTCGCTCTTGTTGCCGAGGTTGGAGTGCAATGGCGTGATCTTCACTCACGGCAATCTCCGCTTCCCGAGTTAAAGCGATTCTCCGGCCTCATTCTCCCGAGTAGCTTGGATTACAGTCATGCACCACCAGGCCCGGATAACTTTTTATTTTTGGTAGAGACGTGGGGTTTCTCCATGTTGGTCAGGCTAGTCTCGAACTTCGGACCTCAGGCGATCCGCCTGCCTTGGCCTCCCAAAGTGCTAGGATCACAGGTGTGAGCCACCGCTCCTGGCGGGAAGCTCTTGTTCCTTCCAATAAAAGACTGAAGTTACTGATAAAACGCTGTTATGTATTGTACATCCTTGGTTTTGTAAACCAAGAATAAAATGCTAAGGCCCAAAGCCATCTGTATGGGCCCCTACTCTTGGCCAAGGGCATTCCAGATTCAACCTTAATATCTAGTTCAGGCCATGATGAAAGAGGGGATTGGACATGCCTCATTAACATCAACACAGACCTTAAGTATGATAAGAAATATTTATCATCTATTCCCTCGGAAGCCTGCTACTTGGAGGCTCCATCTGCATGATAAAACCTCAGTCTTTACTACCCCTTATCATAACTCAGACTTTCCTTTCTACTGATAACTCTTTTTTTTTTTTTTCTTTGAGACAGGATCTGGTCCTGAGAGCCCGGCTGGAGTGCAGTGGCACAATCTCAACTCCCTGCAACCTCGGCCTCCCAGGCCCAACCAAACCTCCCACCTCAGCCTCTCAAGCAGCTGGGACTACAGGCACATGTCACCATGCCTAACTAGTTGTTTGTTTGTTTGTTGAGACGGGTTTTGCCATGTTGCCCAGGCTGGTCTCAGACTCCTAGACTCAAGCAGTCCGCCTGCTTTGGCTTCCCAAAGTGCTGGGATTACACGTGTGAGCCACAACACCCAGCCAATAATAATTCTTTCAATCAATTGCCAATCAGAAAAATTTAAATGTACCAATGACCTGAAAGTTCCTGCTTCTCCCTGTTGGAGTTGTCTTCCCTTCCAGACTGAAACAATCATGTAAATCTTGCATGTATTGATGATGTATCATCTGCCCAAAATATATAAAAGCAAGCTGTGCCCCAACCACCTTGTTCACATGTCAGGACTTCTTGAGACCGTGTCAAGGGTGTGTCCTTAACTTTGGCAAAATAAATTTTCTGAATTAACTGAGACCTGTCTCAGATATTTGGGATTCAGAGTTCCCAACCAAACTGCTATTTTAAAAAAGACTTTCTAGACCAGGCATAGTGTCTCAGTCACGTACATACAGTACTTTGGGAGACTGAGGTGGGAGGATCATTTATGCCCAGGAGTTCAAGACCAGCCTGGGCAACATAGGGGGACCCCTTCTCCAGAAAAGAAAGAAAATAAAGAGAGAAAGAGGAGAGAAAGAGAGAGGAAGGAAGGAAGACATTCTAGAACAATGGAGGAACAGTGAATATGAAATGTCTGTTAGAGTTGATGTTACAGGATAATCAATGATTTATAGACATTTATTTATGGATAATTAATAATTTTTGGCTACGTTGGAGGGTGTCTTTATTATTAGGAAACTCACACTAAAGTATCTAGGAGTTCCCTGGTATTCATGGGGATGTAAAGAAACTAAAAGTATTTAGGAGTGAAGTATTGCCGTGTCTACAACTTGCTTTCAGATGCTTCCACACAGACGAACACAGAGGGAACAAAACAGCGGAGTGTTAATTACCAGAGCTAAGTGGAGGGTATAACACTATTCAGTGATTCTTTTATTGTTTACATATATTTAAAAATCATAATGTAAAGTTGAAGAGATGAAAAAGAGTTGAATCCAGTTTCACAAAAAGTCGGACACTGAGTATATTACTTTTTTTGTTTGTTTTTTTAAAACAGAGTCTTGCTCTGTTCTCAGACTGGAGTGCAGTGGCACAGTCTTGACTCACTCACTGTAACCTCCACCTCCCAGATTCAAGTGATTCTCCTGCCTCAGCCTCCATAGTAGCTGGGACTACAGGCGCCCGCCACCCTGCCCAGCTAATTTTTATATTCTTAGTAGAGACAGGGTTTCACCATGTTGCCCAGGCTGGTCTCGAACTCCTGGTCTCAAGTGATTCACCCACCACAACCTCCCAAATTGCTGGAATTCCAGGTGTGAGCCACTGCACCCAGCCATGAGCATATTTCTTAAAGACATATTACATATTAAAGGACAAATAACAAGATAATCAATAAAAGACAGGTTTCCATCCTCATTCTGCAAAATTTTCCATAAAGTTTGTTCAAGCTGGGGGCGGTGGCTCAAGCCTGTAATCCCAACACTTTGGGAGGCCGAGGCGGGCAGATCACCAGGTCAAGAGATCGAGACCATCCTGGCCAACATGGCGAAACCTCGTCTCTACTAAAAATACAAAAATTAGCTGGGTGTGGAGGCGAGCACCTGTAGTCTCAGCTACTTGGGAGGCTGAGGCAGGAGAATCACTTGAACCTGGGAGGCGGAGGTTGCAGTGAACCAAGATCACGCCATTGCACTCCAGCCTGGCAAAAGAGCGAGATTCTGTCTCAAAACAAAACAAAACAAAACTGTGTTCGGTTGAACATAAAAAACTTCATGAAACACCAATATTAAGCAAGGCCACTGAATGATCATAATAGAATAGGACAAAAAGAAGGCCACTGTGTAATCATGTCTAAACACAGACAAAAACATGGACACTGTTCAAACCACAGAAATGACTATCTCCCTATGCTGCCCAATATGACTGACTGCTGCCTCTCTCCCCATCACAGCTTTAGCTTGACTTTATTCCACCTGCCTTCTAGATAAGATGTATGAAGTACCCAATCAGAATCACCACAGCTTCTTGGCAACATCTAATCCAGGGCAAAGCTCCACTTCTTGAATCCTCGCAAAATCACTGAACACAAACCCAAATCCTGTAGAAAGAACTTTCTAACACCCTTTTGCTGAGACTTCCTCCTGGTTTCCCACGGTGTTCTCTCACCCTCATTGTAATGAGTCAATAAATGCAATGTTGTCCTACTGCAGCTATGGTTCTCCTGGACTTTGGCTGAAGAGTGTTGATATGTTTTGCAGTGACATAGAGCATAAGGTGAAAGTGAACATGGAAAACAAGTTGTTAGAAGTTTGAAGAGAAAGGAGAAATTATGAAATACTTAGGAGCACAGGGGAATGAACTGACTGATGTTTTAGGAAAACAGTAAAACAGTAGCATTGCTGGGCAACACAAATGCCTGATTGAGACTAATGGTCTTGTATTTCAAGTGAGATCACACTATTATATAAACAGCTCCCAGAAATCCCAGTTTACCACAATCAGGAGAATGCTTAATTAAGAGATTAATGGTCATGTATTTCAAGTGAGATCACACTAATATGTAAACAACTCCCAGAAATCCATATAGAGAAACCATAGTCGAGTTAAAAACTGCTAAGGTATATGTCAGAAAGTTCATGGGAAAGGAAATACAAGTGTCTCTTAAAAATATAAAAGATCCGGCCGGGTGTGGTGGCTCACATCTGTAATCCCAGCACTTTGGGAAGCTAAGGAGGGTAAATCACGAGATCAGGAGTTCAAGACTAGCAAGGCCAACACAGTGAAACCATGTCTTACTAAAAATACAAAAATTAGCTGGGCATGGTGGCAGACTCCCTTAATTCCAGCTACTCAGGATGCTGAGGCAGTAGGATCACTTGAACCCGGGAGGCAAAGGTTGTGGTGAGCTGAGATCATGCCATTACACTCCAACCTGGGCAACAAGAGTGAAACTCCGTCTCAGAAAAAATATATATACATATATATATGATCCTCAGTTTCATTCAGAATAACATAGAAATTAAAACCACCCTGAAATACTATTTTTCACTTATTAGATTGATAGAAGTACAGAAGTTTGAAAATGCATTCTGTTGACAAGACTGTGGGGGATACAGGACTCTCATAATGGAGGTGTAAAGTAATATAGCAGATTTGGCAATAGCTAAAAAAATTGTAAGATGCACACACTGGCAGCAATACCAACTTCTATGATTTTTCCTATAGATTTAGTTGCACACATGCAAAATAATGTGCAAAGTTACTCCTAGAAGAACAGTTTGTAGTAGTAAAAATTGAAAATAAATCATCATCAGTCGAGGACTGGTTAAATAACATACCTCCATCCATTGGAATTTAAATTCTCTGCAGTTTCATAATAATTTTAAAAAGAATGAGGAGGAGCAACATCAACACAAATGGCAGAGGAGGGAACTTCAAAAGTCTGTACTTCCACAAAAGCAGCAAATAGGGTGGCAAGAGCTGTTAGAAACAATTTATTCAGAACTCCAGAATGTCTCCAGACCTTACCACAATCGGGGGAATGCTCATTAAGAGAAAACAGCTGAGTCTCATTAAGAGACTTTTGTGACATTTTAGTTACTATTTATTTGAGATGGAGTCTCGCTCTGTCACCCAGGCTGGAGTGAAGTGGTGCAATCTCAGCTCACTGCAACCTCCACCTCCCGGGTTCAAACAGTTCTCTGCCTCAGCCTCCCAAGTATCTTGGGATTACAGGTGCCCACCACCATGCCCAGCTAATATTTTGCATTTTTAGTAGAGACGGGGTTTTACCATCTTGATCGGGCTGGTCTTGAACTCCTGACCTTGTGATCCACCTGCCTTGGCCTCCCAAAGTGCTGGGATTACAGGCGTGAGCCACCGCGCCTGGCTGTGACATTTTATTTTAACTTACCCTGGTACCATCCCCTACTCTACAATAGCCCGCATTCCTGGTACTGACTCCTAG